TTGCTGCATCGTTGCCTAGAACAATGTTGTAAGTCTTTGTCGCACGCGCCAACGAATCTCCCTCTCTCTCTTTTTCTCTCTCGCGCGCTCGAGCTTTATACCCTCGTATGCGCCGGGCGCTGCATATATCGTCGTGTGCATTCACGCTCGTGCCTCTCTTTTCTCGATTCTACTTCTTCCTTTTTCTTTTTACGTACTCTTTATTTTAAACGAGAAATGAATTCCCGAATGCAGGCAGTAGCAGTAGCAAGAGCCACGCTTGTTTGTGCATCATCCCCGGGTTATAACGAGCAGTTATCGCGCGTGCATATAAGCGCAAACTGCTTTGTCCAATATGCCTTTACTTTTTTTATTTCCCCCTTTTTTTTAATAAATATGTATGTATAAACGATATCTCAGCGATGCGTGCGTATACGTGCAGGAGAGTTCGGGCGCCGTATTGTTGTCATATATCATCCGAGGCTCGATCTATACATAGATATACACGAGAGCAGGTCGAATCCGACCCTTCGTGAAAAATAGCGTCTACTTTCATACATCTTATCCTCTTATATGTGTCGTTGATTGATCCTGCGAGCTTGGAAGCCACAACAGTAGCAGCATCAACGCAGGCAGCATCGACCAACACAGCAAAGGTCAACAGCACATTTTTCTTATCGGATAATCTGCTTCTTCTTCTTTTTTTCGCGGCACGCATCAGAATGACTATACGCGCACTGACAATGGGACACGTCTTCCGAAATTACTTTTTCTCGTTTTCGATTGTATTATATTGAATTGCGAGTCTCGATGATAAAATAATTCATCATCTTTGAGAACTCGTGTTCACATCTTATACTGCTGTATAAAATTACCGTGTATTGTGCGCGGGTGCAAAATTACACTTGCAGTAGACACGAGAATCGAGAGAAGGAAATTTTTTCAATATCATTTCAACTCGCGACGTGCATGATAAATATTTAATCAGCCCGTAAAAACGTCGACGGCTGGGGTGCAGCCAAGTACACGGTCAAATGTATAATAAGCTAAAACGAGCGGAAAAAATGATGGAAAGAAACGCAGAGAGGAAAGAGAGCAATTATCCTTGAAAAATATTTTTCGACATTTTGCACTTGGTGTGTAAGCGCGCGCGGCATATCTCACACTGGCTCGGGTCTGCAATAAGCTTATATATATCCGCACGTTCGAGCTATATATAGGTAGTAGCAAATTCGCATACAGCACTAGTGGCAGCAACAGAATGGCTGTAAAAGGGTATATGATTGATCGCAGCTTGGCATGCCAAATAATGCAGTTTTATTTCATTTGATTCCCGCACCTCCCGAGGTAATTGCTATTTTGGCGGCTTCCTCTTGCCATATGATGTATTGACCCTCCAATTGTCTCGTTTTTCACTTATTTTCTACGCACACGCATTTTATATGTACGATTATTGACTTTCAAATGGAAACTCAGGAATAAAAGTTGCTCTTATAGTGCTTTTATTTATATATAGTATAATCGTTTTGTCACTTGCAGATTTACCGATTGAAGTGCTCGCCATCTAGTGGTGGAGACGTAAAGTAGTATTAACGTACTTAAAGTGGTTGAGACATGGTTTATATTTTTTGAGGCAATTAAATTGTCATTTGAAGGTCATTTTATGGACATTTTTTGGTCACTAGTCCATTAATAATTTTGAGCCTACCTAGATGACGTTTACATAAATAATAAACAACATTTTGCATTAGATTTAACTTTTAAAACAACTTAACGATAGACAAGTTTGCTTAGTATCTTTTTTCGTCTAGAGTTTTAAACGAAATTCGTATGATCAATTATTGCTATTGGCAAAACTTTAGCTTTGTATGCATAGATGCGACCGCTGCACGTGTAAAACTTAGCTCTTTATATAGTTCACTGAGCTTTGTATATTGTGCCGGTTTGCGATTGCTGTTTGAATGTGAGTTTGAACGTGTGCCTCTTTTATGTAAGCTTGATCATCTTGTGTATGTATGTGTGTGTTTGTGTCTACGAGGCCGTTTGCGGGGCCAAACGTATGTGTGTACCTGCGCATACGTAAACCTACGGAGCGTTTAAATTTCAGATAAAAATCTCGCCTCGTTCGATCGAGCCAAAACAATAGAGAGAGAGAGAGAGAGAGACTTACGTGATCTTCGCTTTATATGTATAGCGAACGCCAGCTCGTATACACCGAGTTATGTATTTCCGTTTTTCATGCAAGAAAAAAGTCTCGAGGCAGCGACACGAAAATACTTCGCTGCGCGTCTCGGCGTTATTATCGTTATTACTTGCCGTTTCGCCTGTTTGTGTGTGTTGTATATGTAGGCATACAGTGGCACATACACACACACAAACACGAATGTGCTCGTCATATACGGCAGAGATTGTGCTCGCGTCCACATCGAGCCTCGATCACTCAAACTCGTTAAAACTTTCGACATTAGCATCGGCATCGACCTGCATTCTATTATAGCATAGTCAACGCAATTACCGCATTCCCAGAGGCAATATTATGTTTGCTGCAGTCTCCCTCGCGGCGCGGCACAGCACAGCACACCCACATCCACACACACACACACACACATGCATATTACTTGCCACATCTTTTGTATCGAGCTGCACGTCGATTGCTGCGACGAAAGATTTCTGAGCGTGCGCTATATTTATGAGTCGTGCGTGCATGCAGTGTGCGCGACGAATTCCCATTCACGCGCGCAGCGCAGTTCAAAGGCAAATATTTGATCAAAACTTTATCTTTCTCTCTCTCTCTCTCCGAGGCTTTCTCTCTCGTTTCGTCGCTTATATATTCGCACGTGGAGTATAATGACTCTTTTTTTTCTTCTTGCACGAAAACTGGCTTATCGTGCGACGAGCTGCAGCTACGCACTTATCAAAGCGCACCTATATATGAGCGCACGCGTGATGTGTACGTGTATTATACGTCTGATCAAACATTCATAAATCAGTGCGATTGCCTGGGCGCGTGCATGTAAAAATACGAGAGCGACGAAAAAAAGCCAAAAATACGACGAAAAAGAGTTAAAAGAAGAAAGCTCGGAGTCGATGAAAAATATTGCAGCGAAACGGTAAAAAGCGACCCAGACACATAACTACACGAGTCGAAACGTCGGTGTGTATGAGCTGTTGGAGTAAAAAAATCTCGTGGCCCAAGCCGAGAGGCTAATTATGAGAGGAAGAGAGAGGAGAGAGAGCGAACGAACGCGTGCATTAGGCAATCGCAGCTAATACGGCTGGTGCGCGTAAATACCTACGTAGTAGAGCTAGAGGCGCAGCTCGCAGGGCTTTTTGCTCGCGCCTCGCCTGCCGCGTCCTCCAGGCCTGTCTTACACTGCCAATTTTTTTGTACGTGCTCGCCACAGCAGCCCCTCGTAAAGCAGCAAGTCGCTAGCAGAAAGAGAGAACCGCACATCGAAATACTCGACTCTAGCGTGCCGATGAAAGAAAGCACCCCGTGTGTATATATATAATATAACGGCTGCTGCTACTGCTGCTGCAGTCCGCTGTACATTGCGGCAGCGTCGGGCAGCGTCCGGTGCGTCGAATTATCGTATGCGGCTGAGATATCCTTCGTTATACGCTGTAACGTATATATAAACCTTGGTGTCTGCAAAACGAGCGATATAAAAATGTACGTGCCGAGCTTTCCGGACCGAGCCCGAAAACGGCCACGCGCCTGAGAGAGAGAGAGACTTTGAAAAAAGGAGCTATATAGCTTGAAAGAGCTCTAGCTGCTCGGTCTGTACTGGTGTGCGCGCGCCTATGAAATGTGTATGTAAATTTCAGAGTCATGCAATTCAACTATAAAACTCGCAAGGCTTGAGTTTTGTTCCTGTCTCTCTCTCGCGAACTCTGCACCTTCCGCCAGTTTCTGCAGTTATTTACGGTTTGATTCGCCTTATCAGCCACCGCCGCTTCTGCTGCTGCTGCTGCTGCTGCTGCCTCCACCTACCTTACGACGTATACACAGAGCCCTGCGATTCCCCTCGCGAGCGCGCGAAGGTCGTTCGTTTCTATTCCGGCTACGCTCGGGACTGAAAACACCTTTTGGCCGCGACGGCAGCAGCGGCAGCGCCAATGAGAGATGGCCGATACTTTCACTTTGGCTCGTGTTCCGCAGTTCGAGTCCGTTTCCGCACGTCAAGCACATAGTGCAGCTCTTCGGGGTTTTATTGGCCAGCGGCACCGCCTACGTATTGCATCGCTCGTGTGTATGCGATATAGAGCAGTGCTGCACAGCTGATTTATCGAATATACGTCGTCCGCGTAACGAGTCCAACGAAGCGATTTGTTTTTCCGAAGAAGCCGCGCCGCGCATCGCAGCTTTATCTCTTTTCTCTCATCGGAATTTTAAGCTCAGCGCGCCGTGCGCGATATACGTACGCACACACACACACACACACACACACACACACATAAGCACTGCTCGCGCATCCACGGAGATTTTTGGGCCATTTTTATGATTCCGCGCGTTTTATGCCACCATAAAACTGATTTTATTGAAGCTCTTCCGCGTATATGTGCTGCGTATCTGCGTGCGTGTAGATGTTTGATGTTCTCACTATATATTTCTTCGCTCCTTTCGATCGCGCGCGATACTGCGCCGCGCCGTGACTTCACCTCTTCAACAGTCGTAGCACATATAACACACGTATATAAATATATAGATATAAGACGTTGTAGCCGAGGCTATTTTTGTATGAAATCTACACTTAAACTTTTATGCCACGGATTCTCGGAAAGTAGGGACATTTAGATGATATACTCCTATAAGCAGATAACAGCGCATTTCATATTGCTGCACGATAATTGTCATCCATCAGCTTCTTGTGTACATATATATGTAGCAATCACAAAACTTTTTTATGTGCTTCAGACAAATAATTCGAGAGTTATTATTGATGCAAATTTTAATTTATCGAGCGACTTGTTATTTACAACTTGAAAGTTGCGAAAACAAGCTGAATTATCATCGTGGCAAATTTTTTAATGATACAAAAGTATGAGGTACACTTGTGAAAATGACATTACGCTCAATGTTGTAACGTTTACTTGACTAACGGCACTAATTACACAGTTATTGATTTATTTAATCGTTAATAATAAGTTATTAATGGAACTTATATTTTTTTCTCCGCGTTCTCTATAGCTTTAGCTACTTCTGGACACACGTACGTCTTTAGAACTCCCTGTAATTTAAAGATTTGACACGTGTTAAAAAAAATCATAACCTATTTATAATTGTAATTTTAAAATATTACCGTGCAAATCAGTCTTGCAACTTTTTCGGATTCAAGTTCGGCTTCAGTATGTCCTTGGTAACAAAAAGCCTCGACATTATCGCAAGTTAATTTTTCCTGCAGAAGTAATAATAGCAGAAGTAATAGAAAATAATGTTTTTTTCGTAATGAAACAGAAAAGAATCTTCGCGAATTGTCTCATGTTCCTACCTTTTCTATAAGCTGTCGAATATTTTCATCTCGACGTTCAGCGAATTCCTCATGAAAAGCCTATTGCACAAATATTTTTAAAATTAAAACACCACTTTTCTATCATTTGCTTATAAATATGAAATAATAAACACTCTACCGATAAATCCTGTTGCAACGAATTATCAATCGAACTCACTAATATAAGAGTCAATAATAAAACAGTAGGAATACAATGGAAATTCATTTTGTCAATGAAAAATATCTTACATCAGCACTATCGAAGTATTCAAGAAAGACTGAGCAATGCTTAGTGGAATCTTGTTGCACAAGTGCATTTCTCCGTAAATTGGTGCGCGCTCATATAATTATTAGCATTTACGCAACGGATAATTCGGTTTCAAATCAACAGTCATTTTCCTTATTTTGATAACTCGAGATAGCGTTTAGTTGCAAAGATGCACCTGCAAAAATAAAATCAGGGTTAAGACGGAAATAAAAAATAAATTTAAAAACAATGGATTACGTAAAATGCTGGATTGTGTCTTACAATTGAAAGTCCCATAAATAACAATTGAAACATTAAAATCTTGCACAATGAGTTGTCGGAACTGATCAAATTACAGCATTGAAAATCAAGCACACGTCTAGGTTGAAGTGCGTTTGAAGGAAAGCTACTCGGTGTTGTAGGTACAAATTCTCTCTATACATACACTTACATCCATACAAGCAAAGCAGAACACGGCAGCGTCAGACGCAGAAGATCGAGTCTCTCTCTATCTCCGCAGCTCAGAGCTTTTGCTATCAGTTGGCACTGGTGGCGAAGTCTGCCTATCCATCCATATTACAATGCCACGGATATTAATTATGAGATATTATGATAAGATGCGAACAATAAGCCCGTATTGAATTGAAAATCAGAGGATGCAAGCCGGAGCTCAAGATATACCGACACGCACACACTCACACACATACATACTTCGTCTTAAATACCTCCTTGAAAACTATGTATATAAGCGTGCGCGTCTACGAGCTTTGCGTAAAAGTACGTATATACACGCTCGCAAGCAGCTCTAAGACGCTCTCGTGGAAAATCAAAACATCGCTCGTTCTAAATTCACGAGTAAGCTGACACCCACACAATATACTTCTTGTCTTGAAATTATTCCTCGGTATATAGTTTCTTCGAGAAGGTGCACGTCGATCGCAGAGAGCAGATACAAATCACAAAGTCGTCGTCGTCGAGATACACGAAGGAAGTTGTAAGGTTCCATTCGTCGTCTTGGTTCTAGGGGCTGGGGGTGGTCAGTACAGTGTGCAGTACGAGGATCGATTCAATGAGGGGAAGGAGTGCGGGTGGATTGCACGAGCGAAAGTAAAGGATTCGTAATTACCCCCGGGGAAAGACGAAACGTAGGATAAGGACTATGCGGATCGTTTTACGACCTCTCTCTCTCTCTCCCTGGACTCTCTTGGGTTAGTTGGAAGATTTACGGCGTATCGCCTACGAGCGAAAGCTTCGAGTGGCTGCGAAGTACTACGACCTTAAGAAGCTAGCTGGGGCGTTCGCAAGTCCAAGCGGCAATGGTCACTTCAAAGCAGTCTGTGCCGCTCGTGCTCTCGTTCCCTCTCGTAATTAATGGGATTTGCCTAATTAATTTATGCCCTCTCGATACTTTTGGCGCTAGCTTAAGCATACAATTTATCTGTAATATCAATAGAAGCATCAGGAACAGTAGCAGCGGCAGAAGCAGATGGCATCGAATCAACTAATGCTGTTTGTTCTACCGGCTGACGTTTTGCGAACGTCTATCATAACAGATCGCTGAGAGATTCTGACAGATATACGTTCGCTCGCTGCAATCTGCCTGATATTGCTATCGCAAGCGCGTAAACCTGTATAGACAATAGACGCGTGTATACCAGTGAGCACCGGTGCTGTATTCAGCCGTTGACTCGCAAGATCGTTGATTACAAATAAACTTAAGAGACTACACAGCTTTCCGCGAGCGAGAGAACCCTCACCCCTTTCTGAAGACGCTGCTTGTCCTCTTCTCGTCATTCGTTCCACCGTTGCCCTTTCCTCTACGAGTAGCTTCTATGTATACCTTCAGTTCGTAGCTGTGTATATACACGTACACGCGAAGGTCGCGACCTGTAAATAAGGGAGAAATTCCGGCTTTAAAACAACTTTCAAGCACAGTCGAGGCAGCAGCTCCCAGGGCCAATGCCTCGCCTGCTTCGTTAAATTTTCCGGGTGCTTCATTTGCATGTTCTATACTTTTTTCATGCAATCATCAATTTACATTTTCATCGGCATTAGATGACATTTTTTCTGACAAAATTCTCAAAAAGTGTAGCCACATAAAATTTTCTAATCGAAACGAAAACGTGTATACGTATCCTCGAAACCTACCTCTCTTATTCTCCTCCCCTGAAATAACCAAGAGAGAAAGTACAGATAAATACTAGCAGTCGTCATTTGTTATTCGCTTGTCGACGAAACGAATTTCAATGTGGAGATCCTCGCTCGAGCGAGAGCAAGGCATGTGTATATCTGCACGCTAGCATCAGATTCTCCGAGGGATCTTCTTATTCGATCCCAGTGCTGCAAGAAGACAACGACTGGGATCAGGCAGTATTTGCGTAACGGCGGATGCTTCGCATTCTCAGCGATATATATACACGGCAAGGTAAGCTCGATCGCCTTCCTCGGCTTGTCATTCACAATCGAAATCTGTTTTCCCTACGGAGCGTTAGAAAGAGAGAGACTGGGAGAAGGAAATCGGACGCATTCCTAAGACGTTAAACTTCTCCAGGACAGCGTCTGTCGAGTTTATTCGTACTTTGAATCACGAGTAAGCGTGTGGAGACACTCAAAATCTACTTGACCAATGTCCAGACATATTGCGAATACCTATTTGACAGTTTCTTTCTCGCGGTATACGTTCGCAGAATCAATTTCACCGGGGAAAATTCAGCAAAGTATTTTATTCGTCTCGCACACTAGCTCCGGAACCCGCTGCATACGCATCAACGTGGCAGCATTGCGAGAGCCGCTGGTCCGCAGGAAATGCACGAAATCAGGGAGGAGGAGGATTACGCTTCGCGCTCTGCATTCAGCAAACTGAAGAGATTTAAATTATCTTCGAAGGGTAGGTACTCGAGTCTGGAGAAAAATAAGCCCGGCCCGCTGTCGCAAAGCCACAAACGGCAGCGCGTATATATATTCGACTGATGACAATGCAGCGCTAGAGAAATACGCGACTGCAGCGGCAGCGCAATTATTTGAAAAAAGGAATATTGGCTGGGTGAAATTACTCGCGGACTGCGACGACGTCGGCGTACGACTTCGTGCTGCTACGGCGTATATACACGAGAATCGGATTATGATGTCAAACGAAATTATACATTGTGCACAGGCCAAATGTCATTCTTCATTGCAGTCTATTGTATTTTCTACATAGGACCGACGAGCAGTGGTAGTGGTAGCAGTAGCAGCAGAAGAAACAGGAAAAGTCTCTTTTAAAACCCGATGTTCGAGCGCGAGTACGGAAGCTATTACGGCTGCGTGCACAGCAGCAGCAGCAGCAGTCGCTGCATCGCGATGCAATTCGATGGAACGTATATATGAGCTTCGCGTGTATGCTACATTTATTAAAGAGATTGCAGTGCAACTCGAGAGAGACTATACTGATAGAGACTTCTGCTCTAGAGCTGCGCTATATGTACGTGAGTGGATGGGTTAGGCAGCGTGGGGGAGGGCGCGAAGGGCAAAGATTGCTGTTTTTCGCATGGCTACATCTTCGCGTCTACGCTGCTAACAACGAATTTCTTCCTCTGCTATTCTCACCCTCCTCTCGCCCTTTTATCTCCTCCTGATGCTACTGCTATTGCAGTCTTTTCATCCTCCGCTACTTCTTCTTCTGCTTCTTCTTCTTCTCTTTTTTTTCGTCTCATTCGTTCGCTCGGGCTCTCGCGCTCGTCGTTTGAAAACTCGTCTCCATATTTCCTTTCTCTCAACTACTTGTCATGATCTGTATTATATTGCTCCCTTACCCTTCTGGCCTACGTACATTGTATATATTATACATAGAGCGCTGCAGTTCGAAGCATGCTCTGAATTATACGCGAGCCGTGCGAGCGCGCCGTTGCTTATATTCAATTTGTTTCTAGAAATTACAATTTTCCTGTCATTCGACGGCGTGGGATGAAATAGCTGCCGACATTGCTCGATTTTTACGCTCCAGCTCGACATTCGATAATCGGGCATGACGTCGAGGAAGAAGAGAGCTGCCACATTAATATTCCCACTCTCGGAATTATTTTTAATTGCTGCGACAACAGGTAATGCGCTTTGACTTCAATTTCAATGACACTTTGCGCAACGAGTATATTTTCCTCTTCTTCTGATCAAAGTAATACGCTCGCGTATACACGCGAAGCGCATCAAGTATTCTTTTAGCCTCTCCCCGTGAGCGGAGCATCGATGCTAATACTAGAATTGCTTAAGAGCCTTGAATTACAGGCCTCTTGGCCTGCGCAATATGTGCTCGCGCGCGCGAGACTACTCCTGCATGCATCTGTGCGCGCACTGTGCGCGTCTTGAACGTGTACTTCCATTACATATAAAGTCGACGCGTATTACGCACATACCAAATCGAGCATTCGAGAGTTGACTTTGAAATATTCAAGCGCCGCAAAAGTCGTCGCATATCGTATCAGCGATAAGAGATAAAACTCGCGAAATAAGCGTGCACCTATACGCCCGCATATATACGCACGTGTATTCCATTCTGCGGCTGCCGTTGCGTTTTTCGTAAAGCAAGAGAGGTGGAGGCTCGTGTTTTATGCAGAAAAAAACTCCCGTACGCGTGTGCGGTATTTTTTAAAAATATTGGCTAGATTATTTGCATGCTTTACGGTAAAGAGAGAAAGAGAGAAGAAACCGTATGCGCTGAACATAGCCAAAGAAAAGCTGCTAGCAGGGGTGGCAAATGGAAATAGCGCGCGCGGCGCAACTAGCAATGTGCTCCTTGCCATATCTTCGGGGATGCTAAATATTAATACCTACTAGTGTTTCCCTTTCGTAAATGTACTCTTTATACATCTAACTCGCTCTCGTGCTGCTGTACCATGTGTAATACTCTCCTTTTTTCAGTCTTTATGCTCCTTTTACCAGGGGCCCTATTGTAGTCGAAAGCTCCACTTGTACTTTTTCGACTTTTTCACTTACTCTTTCGTTTTTGCACTTCTCGTAACCATTATCACTGTTCACCT